CTGTCTGTCTGCCTGTTCATCCTTCATTTTCCCCTGAGGATGAATCTAATTCACGCTTGTCAACATCTTTGTTGCTCTGACATTCTTACACACCGGGGCGCGATGAATAAACGGCAAGAAAATATGACATACTGGCCTGTGAGTTTAATAACTCGAAGGCTTTTATTGTGAAAGAATGGAAGGAGTGGATCTGGTCTGCGCTGCCTTTGTCAAAGTTGAAAGGAGGAATAAAGTTTGATGTCTTTGTTAGCGCTGCGAAAGCTCAGCAAAATTAACCTCGTTTAGAAAAAAAGGGCTTTTTTTTTGTATAATTTTCGTGTTCTGTGTCAAATTATTTACAACAGATCGAAACAATGTCTTTATGCCAATTAAGTACAGAAAAACAACAACCCCGGTGTTCAATCCTCATTGATCGTTCAGGTGATTAATCAGACGTCGTGACCTCAAACTGCTCGTCAAGTGACGTCTGATGTGACAGAAATTCAGAGTCTTTTTATTAATCCAACACGTTTTTATTGTAAAATGTCATCTTTGCCTCCAATTGTTCTGCAAACTGCACATCCTGTAGAAACAGGTGGATGGAGACGGGCCTGTTGTTTTGACTCTGTGCTCTGTTGCTTCTGTCTGCTGCAGGCTCAGGAGGTGAGCAACAACTTACCTGTGGAGGTGAGGCTAAAGAGCTCCGCCCTTCTCCTTCAGGCCACGCCCCTCCTGTTCCTCATCAGAGCCTCAGTGATCGCCCAGTCCTTCCTGTCCGCTCTGTGATCGAATGCTTCTGTCTCTGAAGGCCTTTTTTACATTTTCACCTCTGAGGGACCTGGTTTCTGTCAACATGGTTCAGAGTAACGCAGACTTTCTAACATTCACTTCACCTGGATTATTGTGTCATGTGACCAAAGCAAGCCAACAGATGAAATGAGATATAGCTGGCTGTTTTTCACTCCTTCGTGTTCTCTTTATTATAACGGGGAGCTCGTGTTTATTGTCTAATCCTAATTCCTGTACATTGTTGTCTCAGAGATCAAACCATAATGTGGTGATAACAAACACTGATCACGTCCTGTGTAGCTCTGCTCTGTTTGGTTCAGAGACGCTGGGAGGAAGGAAGGAATATCTGATCACCAAGAAAACATGTTTGACATCTTCAGACGATGCCGTCGTGAACAAATGATTCTTGCATTATTATGAATTATAGCGGTGAAGACGATGTATAAACTGTTTAAACTCGTCTAATAACTGCACTGATAACAAGCATCAGATTTACACTCAAACATTCACAGTAAAACGTCCTTCTGGTGCCGTTTAGAAGACGCCAAATACTAATCATAGTTTTCATATTAAAGGTAATAATGAGCGTGATGATGAAGATGGTGATCGTCTACATTTGTTGGTGTTTAATTATTCAGCAAGAAGAAGTGAGCAGTAACTCTGCTCCACATGGTTTCTGGCTCTCAGATTATTTATCAGGTTTTTATCTGTTCTGCTCGTGTTCACTGTGAGTGAACACGAGCAGAACAGACAGAAAGCAGTCCTGGTTTAAAGGACTCCTTCTGTTTTACACTTTCTTAATGAATGTAAATATTGTACAATGAATTTTAATAACACCTTATGACTGTTTGGATTTTCTAGCAGGTGAATCAGTGAACTGTTATTTTAGACGTCATAGTTTTCTCTGTTCCACTTTTACAGACACTGATGTAAATATTGTCAGGATGCTGTAAGAAGTCTATTGTTTGTGTTCTTAATGCTCAGTAAAGGTTTTTTTTTTTTTTTTTTTTTTTTTTTTTTTTTTTATGATGAAAGAAACGCTGAAGATGTTGTCATTGTATGAAGCCTGTTGACTTTTAACTCTTAAAAACATCACAGAAAATGTTATTTTGAAAGAAATTATATCATTATTAATGGTCAGTGATTTTTCAACATCATGTTTAAACAATCAAACAAACATCAAAGGTCAGTCAGTTATTCGTACATTTATGATATTAAAGCCTGAGAGGCAAATAATCGTTCCAGAAGTTTTTTTTTCTTTTTAACAAAAAAAAAACATAGTTGCTGACAGGAAGTCTCTGACTGTGCTGAAGCACCAAACAGCAGTGGAGTACACTGCCTTCTTGGAGTCTCTGGGTGGCGGATACCATCCAGGGACTCTATAGTCCTACTGGGTCATGGTATATGATCGCCGCCATCATGGTATATGATCGCCGCCATCATGGTTTATGATCGCCGCCATCATGGTTTATGATCGCCGCCATCATGGTTTATGATCGCCGCCATCATGGTTTATGATCGTCGCCATCATGGTATATGATCGCCGCCATCATGGTTTATGGTCGTCGCCATGCATATTTATTGTGGATTGTGGACCGGCAAAAAGAGGTGATGAATGAAAACAGTGTGGAGTTTATACGTTAGGGTATTGACAAATGGATTCCAGATTATGTCACAGTCAGCTGTTTGTTCTATTTTATATTTTACATATGATGCTGTAATGTTTGCATGATATTGTGAGATGTCTCTGTTATATTTTGTTTTGTAACGACTTGCCTCCTGTTGCTGCCTTTTTGCCCAGGTCGTCTTTGTAAATGAGAACTGGTTCTCAATGAAGTTATCTGGTTAAATGAAGGTCAAATATTAATATATAAATAAAATGAGGATTGTTTTCTTGCCGATGATTAGGGCTATGGAGAGTATTCTATTGGATGCATTGTTTATGTTGGATATATCTCCAAGTAAGCAGAGAGGAGGGCAGAGTGGGATGAGGCAGCCCAAAAGGAGAGAGAGGTTGTCCGCTATGTCACAACTTAATTGCTTAATTGGTGTACAGTCCCATGTGTTATGCATATATAGGTGTTTGTAGTGTTTTGTGTGCAATCCAGACAAATTTTAGAGTCTGTGATTCCCATTTAAACATTCTCTTCCCTGTGTAGTGTACTCTGTGAAGAACCTTGTGTTGAATGAGTTGCATGTTGGAGGATATAAAGAAGATATTTTTGCAGATTTGGTTCCAGAAGTCGGCACTGGGGATGATTTGTAGGTCCTGTTCCCTTTTTTTCTGAACCGAGGGATACTGTCATGTCTGGTGTTATTATGGAAGATGTGTTTGAGGTGCGTGGAAAATATTGTGGTTTTCTATTTATTAAAAAGTCAGTGTTGTTCCAAATGGGAGAGTATTTAGTTGGAGAGATTGTGCTGTTAGTTATTTGGTGGAATTTCCACCAGTCTATCAGAGCTGTAGCTATGGTCGGGTGTTTGAAACATGGATGGCGTGTTTTAGAGCAGCATAGACTCATGGGTTTGACTTTGTTCAGTTTTAAAATGGACGCTTAAATACAAGGACCGAATGAGACATTTGTCCTCATCAACAACTTCATGATGTGGACTGAGGCCCAGAGCTACTGCAGAGAACACCACCACACAGACCTGGGCAGTGTGAGTAACATAGCAGAGAACCAGACGGTACAGAGTCTGGTATCTGAAATAGGAGTCTGGATCGGCCTTTTCAGAGGTGGATGGAAGTGGTCTGACGGAGGTGACTCCTTATTTAGGAACTGGAAACCTCATGACTCTCAAGGATCTCTGACTGTCCTGAAGCACCAAACAGCAGCAGATTACGCTTCTTTCTTGGAGTCTCTGGGTGGCGTCCTGGAAAGGATACCGTGCAGGGACTCTATAGTACTGGGACGCTTCAACGCTCTCGTGGGTAATGGTGGAGAAACCTTGAGGGGGGTGATTTAGGAACGGCCTGCCTGATCTGAGCCTGTGGGCTTTGCTGTTGGACCTCTGTGCTGGTCATGGATCAGCCAATACAATCACCATGTTTGAGCATAGGGTGAATCATAAGTGTACTTGGTACCAGAACACCCTACGCCAGAGACCGATGATCTTCTTGTGGACGTATGTCTTGGACACTCGGCTGAAGAGAGGAGCAGAGCTGATCATCAGGTTGTGTGGAGTTGGATTAAAAGGAGAGTGTGTCCGCGAGGAAAGATTAGGGACATGGAATCTGAGTGGGCCATGTTCTAAATCTCCATTATGGAGTCGTCAGCTCTGAGGTGTGGTCGTGAGGTCACTGGTGCCTGTCGCTGCGTCAACTTAAAAACCTGCTGGTGAAGTAAGCCGTAAAGCTGAAGAAGGAGACCTTTTGAGACCTTTTGGGTCCCGAAGCAGCAGACCAGTACCGGGGAGCCAGGACTGTGGCTACACAAGTCGCAATATCTTGCGTCTCTTTGTAATTTATCTTGGGCCATCTTAGTTTTTGGTCTTTAACATATCTTGGTTTTTGGACTACCCAGTCTTGGTTTTTGTCGATAGCCATCTCTGCTTCTTGTCATCACTAATCTTGTGTTTTGGCTATTGCCATCTTGTTTTATGACCTGCGCCACCTTGTTTTTTTGCAACCAGAAGTGACACGAGCGGGTGGAGCTAAGTACAACCAAATGCTGAACAAGACATATTTAGGTGACCAAAATCTTACAATTAACTTTCACGAACTGAAAACTCACCGTGAAAGGGTTACAGTTGTAAGGTGAAAACCAGGATAACTCCCAGAACGGACCTCATGGTAGTGTCAATCACTGTGTAGCCCCGCCCCTAAAGCATCCCCTGCTTTATGGTCTATTTGACTCTACATGGACCATCATTTACTAAATGAACATCATGCTGTTAAATCTTCCTAGGCCAAATAAATTTAAGTAAGATAATAAAACAATATTAGATAGAAATATTAACAAAACGGATCAATAAGCTTTAGACCTAAAGATCTAAATTAAATTTCAATGAAAACTTATATAAAATGTATTCACAAGCTTCATTGGTGCTTCTCAAACACTCAACTGCTAAAGGTGCATAAATCTTTTGAACTAAATTTAATGTAAAAACGTCAATCGAAGGATTCATGAGTCACTGATTCCACCTGGTCACATGCAATCCTTTCATTTGTTTGTGGTTTATTGTTATTCAACTTCAAGTCAATTCAATCTTTTTTGTATTTCCCAAAATCACAATTTTGCCTCAGAGGGCTTTACAATCTCTACACATGTGACATCCTCTGTCCCAGGACCCTCACATCAGAACAGGAACAACTCCCCAAAAAACCCTTTAACGGAGAGAAAAGAGGAAGAGACCTCAGAGAGCAACAGAGGAGGATCCTCTCTCAGGATGAAGTGTGATAGATGTCATGTGTACAGAATGAACAGCATCACAGTTACAACACATTCAATGCATACGATGTAAATGATTCATATAATGAGTAGTGAGCATAAAAATTATGGAAAAATTACGACTACTAATAATAAAAGCAGAAGTTAAATTCTTGTTTTTGTTATTCATTGTACTCTTCATCATGTTCTTTATTTATTCCATTTATTTTGTTTATTTTCTGTTTAGAAGTTTAGTTATGTAGTGAGTCCGATAAACATTTAATTCATAAACAACTTGATCATCTGAGATTAACATTTCATTTATTGATGTCAAATTTGTAAGTTTTCCCTATTTTTCCAAAAATGTGTGGCAACCTAAAATGAATCTTATGATGAAATGATATTAGTTAAACTAATGGTGTCGTATCACTGAAGCTATGTACTATCTTTATTTGTATACTCCTTGTATCATTCATAATTGAGTTATTAATAATTGTTGCATATTTTGTTTAATTTAATTAATATTTATTAAAACGTCCTCAACCAATCGCATAACAATTAGTATTATTATCATTTGTTATTAGTATTATTATCACAACTAGTATTTTATGAATACTGATATTACTATCATTATTATTACTTTTGTAATAATAATAATACAACTATTGTCATATTTACTATTATTGTCATTATTATTTTTTTGTATGATTATTATGATTATTCAACTGAGTAATTATCATTCATCAGTGTTTCTTCTTGTCATTTTTCGTCATCGTGTTGAAGCAATCAAACAAACATCAAAGGACAGTCAGATATTATTACATCATTATAATATTAATGCAAATAATCGTCCCAGAAGTTTGCATGAGCTGCACATCCGTCACCGACTGACAGAGAGGATCAGAGAAGAGACGAGGATGGACAAACTTCTTCTGAGCATCGTCGTCGTGTCAGGCAAGACTTTCATATCTTTTTATTATTTTCCCATCTTTAACATTATAATACTGTTTAATAATTTGTCCCTGTGACATTCTTCTTCCCCTTCTTTCTTCATCTTTTTTGCTTTAATGTGAAATGATCATTTGCA